TGACCCAACAAGTTGTTATGGAAATTAGATTTCACCGATACCCAGATCCATAATCTTACACCATGCAATACCACTGTCTAATACTTGTATGAAAAATGTTGTCTGTTTTTTTAAAAGATAATAAAACGGATAGTAATGTTTTATAAACATATTGTATACTGTTATATTATAAAATAGTTAATAAAAATTATTTTAATGTTTGCATCGAGAACAGATAAAAAATCCTAGTAAAGTTTATTTTAGTATTAACTAATTCTACATCAAAACATTACAAACATGAAGGATTAAAAGGATTTTCAACTCAAAAGTATAAAATACATACCAACTACACCAAGATGTTCAGTTATGTCACGTTTAACATCAGAAACATCCCACATCGCCAAAAACGAGCCGAGACAGGAGCGGTCGGGGTCAAATGGAGACACAAACGGTTTGTATGAGAAACTGTAGTGATGAGCTATCGCTGCTAAGAACATTTCAATGCAAATAAGGAAATCCTAAAACAGTAAAAAAGAATCTTACTGATATTATAAATGTGAAAGTTTAGATGAATGGATGGATGAATGTTTGTTAGAGTTTGTAGCCTAAACTGACTAACAGATCAAATTAAAATTTCGCATAGATGTAGAGGAGAGTCAGAAAGAACAAATAGAACATTTCCTTTAAACTAATATTGAGGTAATCAATAAAAAAATACATCTTAAGAGATCTCATCATAGATTTAACGGTTTACATCAGATGAGTATATATAAAAAATAGTAAACATTCAAAAATACTTGCCTGTAACTTTGAAGATATAACTTTTATCTTATCTTGGTCAGATATATCAAATATTGTTGATATCACACCGCAGAATACCAAAATATTGATAATAACACCTTGACTGTGAAAACAAAGCAGAAAAAAACATTTAATAGAAAAAAAACTTTATATATATCAATAAAGAACTATACAAATTAGTTATTTCTATCAATATAGGTTTCTTAAAACCCTACAGATGCTCTGACAATTAAAATTTTACACAGATGCTAAATATTAACTGAACAGTACTAACTATTATAGAAAATTACTTTAATACATAATTTAGCTTATATTTAAGTCAATAAGTATGTTAAAACTTACAAGAATGAGAAGAATACAACAGCTTTGATGCAAAGGAATTTCCCAATTGGTTTCATTGGTTTAAGTTCTTCACGGTTTGCTCTGTAGAACAGCACAAGGCAGTACATGGCCACAAACTGTGACAGATTGTTTATAGCTATAATATAAGGGAAGGCTACATTGGAGCTGAAGTCACTCTCTCCATAAACACCACATAATTCACATATCATTGATATTACTGTAGTCAATGGTCTTACTAATGTATATTGCAGTATTCCATGCTTACAATTATGCACAAATTCACTGAAAGCAAACAAAACATTTTTTTTACTTTTAGATATAAAATTATTACTCTTTATAGTTTATTTTAGGGAATTCAATAGTAATGTATTCATATAAAAACATCTAAAAGGTATATTAAATGCAAGTAACAATATAATTATAAGAAAATACTCACCTCCCCATTTCCCATGGTGTTAAACAGCATAAAGGAAATATATGGTAGACCTGAGGTTTAGTTTCAAGTACTGCTTCCAATTCTTGACCATCATTTAAATAATTTAATAAATATATCATAAAGTTATATATAACATAGGCTTCATAGCATTCCCTCAAGGAGTCCATGTAGATAGATTGTTCAGGAAATTCCAAACCAATCCAAGCATTTAATGCATATATTGGAACCATCCATAGTATTCTAAAATGTGTCAAAACATATTAGTCAATCTGAACCACACAAAAGATGTGCTAACTACTAACTAGTCAAACAAAAATCGTTGGATTGTTCTTTTACAAGAAATATCTACTGTAGTTAAAGGATATTGTAACAATAAAAGACTAAAGCACAAAATAAAAGTTTTCTTAATTAAATTAAAAGTATCAGTACCTGATTATATGTTTTTGAAGCGATGGTTTCGTATAATGAACAATATGTTGCGTTATTTGCCATATAGATATTGGTAAAGCCATCAAAACGAATCCACCAGCAACTAATGAACCTTGGTCAGATTTCGTAAACCCATTGTTTATAGAGTGAATTACCAATAACGGTACTAAGATTATAACTAATATAAAATATAAAGCAATAAAGAAAGGTCTAATCCATAACCGCCACTGACTAAAAAATGATAAGATCGAGGGAGAACACATTTTATTTGCGTTTAAACAAAAGTTATAAAGTTTTCATGGAATACTTCCGTTTTGAAATGTATCATAACAGACGTAGTAAAAGTGAAATTTTACTACATTCCTAAAATGTTTGCGTTATTGTCTTCAGTTTCTGTCGCGAAATCTTTGAAATTCTCGTTTTCTATCTGATTCTACTATTAACATATTACGGTAACGCTAATCATGAAAACCAAATCTATCTCAATATTCGTCAATATTCCAGTCCCAGTTTTTTTTTTTTATGAAATTGAGCATTTGACAGGTTCATAGATAAAATAATGTTTAAGACGCATTATTATTTGATCAAAACATGAAGCTAACAGATTATATAAGACTCTCTCTGACTTGACTATGAAAATATTGAAATAAAAAATATTAAAATTACAAAACTAAGAGAAGGACTTATCGCAAATACTAGGTCTAGGGGTCTAAGTATTTTAAGATTTTATCCTACCGACACAAAGAATCTAAGAAAATATTTATAAACTCGTAAGTTGCAGCATTCTAAGTCTTCAATTTAAACTAACTATGCTATTGCAAGCTCTAGACTTTAGTCTAGAAGTGCCGAAAGTTATATGAATGATTCAAAAAAAATAAATACAGACTTACCAAACGCGGTCTATTTTATTAAATAAAAAAGACATAACACTCAACCACAGTTTGACTTATCCGAACCAGGGTTGGATTTCGAAGATAAATTATGAAATTTTTACTTACCTTTTTTTATTTTTAAATCATCAAACTAGAAAATCCATAAAATCGTCATTTCCAATAAAAATGTGAAATCCCGATAGATATATTTGGAAATGTTTTCAAAATAGTCTAAAAGGTTAAAAATAAAATGCCAAAATAATTGAAGCTCTCATTAAAAATGGTACATAAACACGCTAACCTCTTAATCTCAGTCATTAAAAGATAACAAGATTTTAATTTTGAATATAATGTGATAAAGACAATTCAAATTTCCAAGGTAAAATTATTTTTGAAAATCCAAATCCAGCCCTAGTCCGAACCGAATGCGAACGAACACATCGAAGTCCAGTCCATCGCAGTCTCGTCTCGCAGTCAAGCAAAAGTAGGTAGTGTTACAGAATGGGCATGGTTAAATGTTTGTGATTTCTTTTCATACATATACAAATTTAATAAAGCAATTCAAGTGTGATAACGTAATTTTGTGTTCAATCACTATGAGCTCATGGTAGAGACCCACTTATTCGTTCATATACAGTTATTCGCGTAACACGTATTTTGTGCATAGAGTTCAAGCATTGAATTAGGCCACATAGCGATCTCTCCCTAAATTACCGCTGTTCAGCCTGTCGACGTATCAAGACAGACTATCAAGTAAGCAAATTGTGTTGCTCATTTATTTTTTTAACATTCATGTTTTAGTTTACATATTTTGCTTTGCTTATACAGGATAAGCATAGGATACAATAGATAACGTTTATAAATAGTCTATCGCGAGTCGATAATTCGTATGTTTTCGTAAATGGGTCACCTCGCCATTCTTTGAAGTTTAAGTTATATCGTGATTTTTTGATTACGGAGCAAATATTACTTCGTGTTAGAACATTTAAACGTAGGAAATAGTAAATGTGTTACGAGTTTTTTACTTTATGTTCGTAGACGCGCGAGGAGGGAGAGTGATGATCAGAAAGGCCGCGACCTGGTAATGTGATGTCATCAAAAGGGGAAACAGAGGCCGATTCAGGCACGGTGTCGCCGAACTTAACCACAGTTAAAAATGAACCGGTCAGTATTACACTTGAAAATTATACATCTTTTTAATATCCTATAGTTTTAAAATACTACATGAATTATGTTTATATTTTGTTAACCTAAGTCTATATCCAGTAATAGAGATTGAAAATATGCTTTAATAATTTAAAAAAATATCCTTGTTCTTTTACATTGATGATTAAAAAATGATAACAAATGTTTACATTGAACCTGTTTCTTGTATCATAACTATTTGTTATGTGTTGTATATTTTTCATTACAACTCATTGTAATTAATTATTATTACTGTTGTAAATAGCCTATAATATAGTTTTTATTAATGATATAAGTAGTAATTATATACTATTGGGTAAGATAATTTTAATATATGTTATCTCTATTTGGATTTATTGTAAATTTCAGGTAGCAACAGCAAGTAAAGATACCCCAAGAAGGGGAAACAGTACATTGCTAAAATGTACAACTTGCAACAGTTTCAGTACTCTCAGTAGTAGAGCATTAACAACACATATGGCCCAGTGCTCTCCGGACAACAACAATGTGGCAGCTGCACAAAATGCGGACGCGAGACCGCACAGAAAACTTTTCGAATGTGATGTGTGCAATATGAAGTTTTCAAATGGCGCTAACATGCGCAGGCATAAAATGCGACACACCGGTGTTAAACCATACGAGTGTCGCGTTTGCCAAAAGAGATTCTTCAGGAAAGATCATTTAGCAGAACATTTTACAACTCACACGAAAAGCTTGCCATATCATTGCCCAATATGTAATCGAGGTTTCCAACGACAAATAGCTATGCGTGCACATTTTCAAAATGAACATGTTGGTCAGCATGACCTTGTTAAGACTTGCCCACTCTGTAGCTACCGCGCTCCTACTATGAAAAGTTTGAGAGTTCATTTCTTTAACAGGTAAAGTATAGTTGTTTTTTTTTAGAACTTTTTAATCAATTACTATGTTATTTAACATTTTTTTTCTTTTACAGGCATGGCATTGATTTAGATAATCCCGGTCCAGGGAATAATTCAGTGTCACTTTTGGCCGCTGGTATTGCAAATGCAGCTTATGCTGATGGTACAATGGATCCCAGTACAATAAATGCGCTAGGGTCACTGGGGTCCGGACTCTCGGTGTCTGTTGCTGCTGCTTATTCGGATAGTGGTGACAGTAATGGTGAACGGTCTGTAGATAATGCTACACCTCCTATGCATTATTTGACACCCCATGTAGAAATATCAATGCCCGATAACAACGAAACATATTCACCTGGCCAGTCCAACCATTTAGGGAATTCAGGTAATTTTGTTTTTATTCAATTTTATAAGTAATACTTGTGACTTTGCCCGAGTGAAATTAAAAAAAGTAATAAAATGATTAGGCTCTGTTACTTACTGACAATAGCTTTTTCAATAGTGAAAGAATTTTTGAAATCGACCCAGTACTTTTTGAGTTATTTTAGTACATACAAAAATACAAATCTGTCCTTTTTATTATATTAGTATATTAAACATTTGTTATGAAAAAAATGCACAAATGTTAATACTTATGTCAATTTGAATGCATGAAATGATTTTATTAAACATTCACATTTAATGTAACTTAATATTATGTCATAATAATATCACAATTAGTTATGTTTTTTTCTCATTTCATTTTATTCGGTAAATGTTGTTATCAGATTTGCGCATGAATGGGGAAGGCCCAAGTTCACCGCAGTCGGGGGACAGTGCTGTGGCCAGTAGCTCCTTATCAGCTGGTCTTCCCACCAATATTACACCATCTATTACTCTCATACCCATTAAACAGGTAAATTATTTATATTCATACAAGAAAATTGGAGTGTTTTTATGTAATAATGTTAAAAAAACCAGTTTTAATATGTTTCTCTGCAAGTTGTATTGTATATAATGATTGGAAAGGCTGAACCAATTATTAGTGACCCTTTTAGTGCACAAGGATTTTGGAAATAATATAGTGTATTCTATGCTGATGTAATCGCAAATTTTTCTTACTCAAATAATTTTAAGTAATGATTACAAGTATTAAATACAATAAAGTTTTTTTATAGGGTTTACTTTTTAATGTACTAATTAGAAATCGTAATGAGACACTATTAAGCAATAATTTAATTGTCAAAATGAAATGAAATAATTATAAAATAAAAGGAAATTGAAGTAATTAATGTAATACTAAATCCTAATTTACAAATTAAGAAATTCTATCATTAAGATAAAGGTGATTTTTAAAAGTAACTATACTATTACGAAACATTTTGTGGCGTGTTTTAACTACTTTGTAGTTTTTTATTAGAATGACTTCTTAAGAAGTCCGAATATATTATGTATAAGGAAAAAAAACTAAATTCTGGTCAGACAATATTTTAACCTCTGATGCTTACGTCTATCTATATTTTATATCCATTCAGTAATTTTTACAACCTTTATAAAATAAGGAAATATTATAAAATACAAGAAAGTCATCTTTACAATTGATAAAACTTTTAAGCAATTTTAAAAACCCTTTTTTTATTTAAATCAGTCTTGTTTTGGTTTTAAGTGTTATATTTCTATCTTTTCTCTTTTGATATTAATTTATAGTATACAGTAGTGACCGACATTTGGCTCCAGAGCTACATATCGCTCTTTGACCCCTTAAGTGCGACTCTAACTCTCTGTTTGTTCACATTAAAAAATACTTATTAAATATTATATTTAACTAAGTAATACTTAGTATAATTAGGTTTTACTATATAGGCAGATTTGACTCCCAATTTTTTTTATTGTTGTAATATTCATATTTTTCTTACGAGTTTGCCGATGACTGGTATAGAGAAATTAAATAAATTACAATGTGTTTTCAGGAACCCAACACACAGGAAGATGGCGGCGGGGAGCGGGAGGGCGAGGCGAGCGTGGACAAGCGCGGCGTGTCCTCCAGCCTCTCCTCTCTCATCAAAGTCTCTCCGCTCAAGAGCCTCCTGCGAGAAGACCTGCGTAGACGCATATCGGCCCGCGGCAGGTCCCGAGGAAATAATGTAAGTATCATTTCTATTTTATATTTCAAATTTAGCTATTGATCGCAATTTATACAAAGTTATTAAAGTATTTTATGAAAACTAAAATTAAAAAGGTCATGTTTACTTTGCATTTCTTGGACCTTTAACTATTTTTTTTATACTATGTTAAGGTCATCGACGCCTCCAGTTACATCTAAAGTTGTGTTCAGCGCATACTTGTGCGATATTTCGAGCCTCCAAGATAACTACTGTAATGAGGCGGTTGTTTTTTTATTTTATTTTTATAAAACTTGTATACTAACATCAATTATCATGACAAACTATTTACGTGGTTTGTAAGCGTAGCACCTTTACACTAATAAACAAATATACCATTGGAAAAAAATTAAATAAAAAATACAAGTACAGTCGTGGAAATCAGTTTTTCACTTTAGGAAAAATACCCTTGTTCATTACAACGAGACAAACTCCACCTCTTCCTACAATAATAAAATAGCAGTGAGTGGTGCAAACGAAGGGATAATAAAAAAAAACTAGCCGTTTATCACTAACCGACTTTTTTATCGTACAAGATACATTTATATGCGTTGTATTGATTTATATTCCGCGTCTCATTCCAAAATCTACAAACGATTGTAGTTATTAAGGTGTTTTACTGGCAGCCAACAATTTATACGTAATGTAATAAAATGTAACCTTAAAGAAGTTGTAACATTACAATGAAATTGTAATTGCAGACGTCGCGAGCGTCTCCTTCGGAAGGGGGTATAACATCGACGCACGGCGACGCGGCGTTGCTGCCCTCCTCGCTCGTATGTACATTCTGCTCCATTACGTTCCCCGACTCCACGCTGTACTTCCTGCACAAGGGCTGCCACTGCGACTCCAACCCCTGGAAGTGCAACATCTGCGGCGAGCAGTGCTGCAACGTGTACGACTTCAACTCGCACTTGCTCAGCAAGAGTCACCAATGACTGTTTGCAGGGGGGTCGTTACACTTCAACTGACCCGATGCACTTTTCGCATTTTTGTGCATACGTAAACACTTCGAAGCTTCACCTTTCATTTTGATGTCCATTCCAACGCATTTAATGCACTTTATAAAAATGTTTTTTTAATGTGAAGTTAAGCACGCCGAGGTGAGTCTTCGAATTTGTCTTACGCTGAACGTCCCCCCGAAGCTGTTATTAAAAGTGCAAATTACTTTTGAAAGTTATTTAGTTGTTATAATAGTTAATGATTGGTTTGTATGGATATTTTAGTGTTTAACTAAAAGGGTATGAGATAGTTGGAAATTTAGGTGCGATGTGGAATTCCCTTAGCTAGAAAGTAAATTAAAATTTGTTAAATGACGAGATTCAACATTCCATTGTAACATGATGCATTCCATGTTTGAGATTTTTCGACCAATACCAGAGTCTTTGGTGGGGAAATGAAGTGATACTTTGAATTTTTTTTTGTCTTTATAATATTTTATTTTATTTATTGTTTTTATTTTATTTTAAGTACTTAACGGTACGTGAACATTTGAAAATAAATTTATTACGAGGTATTTTGGTGCGATAGTCAATTTTACAAGTGTTTTTAAAACTTAAATTGAAGAATGTACAAAGTAATATATTTATACATTTGAACGTTGACAAGATTAGAAAGGCTAAGCCTGTTTTCCCAATATCGTTTATTATTGTGATTTTAATGACAGACAGGAATTAAATTCTACATTCCATTTTTTGTTGTCTTATGCATGTGATGCAAGTCCACGACTAATACTTAATGTACAAGTTTTAAAAATATTATTTTATTAAAAATATGTTGTTAATTATTTATTATTCTAAATTACACAGATTTAGAAGTTAACATCGTGTACTTAAATATCAGCCTTATTATATTAATAAGTTAAAATGAGATAACTATCACGGAAAAGGCATATTTGCTCAATGATTTGAACAAGGCTCAACATTATGATGTTTTACGTGTTCTTTTCGCACAAAAATATAGTTTTGTTCTACATTCCTCAGAATTGGTAATCACGAGTTATCGCGTGCTTGTATCCGGTGCCTGTATATTGTAATTGATTTATTTTATTATTATTATTAATTGGCAACGACTTAAACTGCTATTAACTAAAAGTTGTTAAAAAATAAACAACTTTTCAACTAACTATTATTGGGTGCTCAATCAGATGATGGAAAACTGATTGAAAATTATCGAAATTAGAATTAAATTTATTATGTGGTACTATTTTCGTTTAGGTAAATATGTTTTAGCACTGATGCAATATGAATTGGATTTAGCTTATATATTTGGTCCGGTCCATTCCCATTGGAGTTAACCCTGAGATTTACATTCCTGTAGGTAATAAGTACTTAATATCGGTTGTGGTCTTGCCTGTTAAGTTTACGAAATTGACTTGGTTTGAACTGAAATGTTTACCAACGAAGTTATGTATTTTGTTTTGTTGACGTTGGTAGTGGCGTAGCGCCGGTGAGCGCTAGTCCGTCCCCGACTGGGCCTAGTGAGTTACCTGAAACGAGCGACACATTTATTTATAGAGATTCTTATATTATTGCTGTTTCATTGTTGGTTATTATATGTAGACTTGAATATTTTATATGGTCCCTACCGTTACACCGCGTAGTATAGATTTATTTAAGAGCTATTAATATTATTAATCGGTAACCCCATTGGGCGCCTTTACTTAATCCGTCCATATCTAACGATAGATATTGCCTTTAATATTTAATAGAGTTAATATATTTATAGATTATAGATTAAAATTAAGAAGAGATCTTAATTATAAAATGTTTTTTCTGAATTGAAGAGGTTTACGGAATCATAGAAATTTTATTATCTACATAACTACTGCGACTCTAATAGATCGAATATTGTTTTAAACGTGTTTACTTACTACTTAATTTCTTCAAAAATCATAAATTAAAAACCCATATTCGATTTATTTTTGCAGCAGTATTCCTTTAAATGTTTTTCATCGTTTGACGTAAATAAATTATTTTTTGTGTGGTAGCAACATAGAATCGAGATATGGACACAAAGAGATAATAAAAAAAAACACAAAATAATCTAGTTACAAAGTAATAGTAATTGATATACACCAGTATTTTTTAAATCCCTTTTAAACATATTTTGGCATACATTTCGTGGGTGTGGTTTTACAACAATTGTTAAAAATCATTTAAATGTAATATTTGCTGGCAAGGATGAAATTTTTGGTATGTTTGCGTAATTATAATCAACGAATTAAATGTTAATCGTGTTTTCTCTACAGTATAAAGTGCAAACATTTAAGAATTTGACTTCTTCTTTGTCAATGAATATTGCCAGATATATTAGTTTATTTAACAAGTGTTACGTCTTTAAAACTTGAAGACATTGTTGGAGTTAAATGTTTGTCTTACTGTAGCTTGACTGCTTTGACGTTTGTTTAGCACTTTTTTTATTAATTCACTGACCTCTATAAAATGCACAGACTATAAAGTGTGACATTTTGATTTTTGCTTTTAGACACGAACGAACTAATAATAGATATTGTTATCAACCCCATGTCCATTTGGGATAGAGATCAGTGCATCACTTATTTTGTCTTTTAAAAAAAGGACAGACAAAACATTGTGTCAATGCAACTGTCAAAGCGGTCGAAAGCTACAGATAATAAACAGGTTTCGGATATACTCTTACTTGTTATAAACAGAAATGCTTTAGTATAGCAGTCCTCACCTTAATACCAAATCACAGCTTACCAACATTATAATTTTGTTTTAAGTTGTTATGTGTGTACTTTGTAAGATAGATAAATCATTATAAAAGCAATTATTTTTAAATGTAGAGAGATTGATAACTTCGTTGATATTTTTCTGTTACATTTATTGTGTTACGGTTAAGAAATAACATATTTACTAATACGAATACTTTTCGTAAGGAACCGGTACGGAATATGAGTGATAGATACTATATCATGTTAGCAGATTGTGCCTTAGAACAGTAATAACTAAAAGAGTATAGAAATATAAGAAAAAAAGATTTTTTCGAAATTTGTTTTAACAGATTATAAATATTTAGAAGTGTGAATATTTAAGTGTTTCACATTCAGAGTTATATATTTACAAAGAGAGAATATATAAAAATAAAAATGTTATTTATTTATATATGTATAGTGAAATGTTTGCGATATAGCTGTTTTGCTTGTTTTTATGATAAAAGTTTATTTGCGGTTGAAAAGAATTGTCGTCCTATCATCTTTGACGATATAAATATGCTAAAGGAATGGTACTTACTACCAAGTATGTAGTTTTATTTATTTACTTATAAATAATTTGGTAAAGGGTCTACTGAAATATTAATAAACTATGAGATAAAACATCTAATTTTGGTTTTTATTTATTTCCCTTCACAATATAAATATCCTTAAATGTCCTGTGTTAAGCCAATAGGGATTGATTTAGTTACTCCTTGCTTGTATAGCATGACAAATCTTAATTTGAACTTGGGTGGCTAAATAGCAATTGGCCAGGTATTGTACTGTCAACTGCCAGGACAGGATAATAACATTACCTACCCTCTGGATAGATAGGTGTATAGAATAGAACGCTCCCAAAGATTAAAATGCGTAAAACTTGCATAAAGTAAAAAGGAATACAAGAATTCTACGTACCTAGATTGAATTAATAGAAGTACGCAGATTTGTACTGCGTTTAGATTTTACCAAAATGTAGACAAAACGTAATACTTATTCATACGAAAATAGTAATATTTAATCTATACAAATTTTATAAGCCATGTTTTTTTTTAAGTAATTGAAGTTGTAGTGGTCTTTGTTTATTATTTTATAAATGAAATTATGACGATAAAAAAAACAACTAGTAAAAAAGTTTTTTGTGAAATGAAACGTTACTTTGCAAACACGAGCAAACTTTACTTTCATTCGCTGTCATCGCTGTGTTTGTCAAAGTTTTGTTGACCTAAGTTAGCCAAAAGTTAACTTTTTTATTTAGTGGAAACTTATTTAGTGTTGTAGTTATTTAAAAAAATCTTATTTAGAAACTCTGTATTGTTTAATATTTTTTTACTAAAGTGAGATGGGAAAATCAACGCTAGTTGATGGCGATAATAATCCAACATCGGCGGAATCTGATCCCGCTAAATTATTGGAGGCAGCCCTTCTCCAGATGGATGGCATTATAGCCGGTAAGTTGGGATTAAGTACAAGATACGTGTTTTATGTTTTTGGTACTGTTGTTACGCGAAAGTAAACAATTACGTAAACTTTCCACGCCTGAATGACTATTGGGGTCTTCATTTCCTCATTTATCTCTCACTAACTATTCATATTTTGAGTCAGATGTCTACAGTAATTTGTTACCCCGCTTGGTAACAAAAAATGACAATTTTATGAACTTTTAAACTAGTTTATATACTTTAAAATATGCATTATCCATTTATATTTACATAAACATACCATTGCTTTACTGCATATTAAATGATACTTATTATGTCTATACATTTTTATCTTTAATGAACAGGTGTGGAATCTTATTCCATTATAACAATGAATCAATTATGTAAACATGATATATTGCACATCTACATGAGATTGTGGCAGTAGTAAGTTTGTGATGGCGTATTGCAAGAGTAAGAATGCAATAGTATTGTGTGGATTAAACTTTTAAAAGGTCCATCCAGTAATATTTACGATTTTATGTTAATATATTGAAGAATACAATAACAGTTACTTGAATTAAGTATGCTAAATAAATATGTAAGAATGAATATTTCTGTGTCACCAATGTGTGACTAAGCTAAGGGTTGGATTCACAATTTTCATTCATGTGTTTTTAAACCTAAAACAAATGCATGGAATAAACAAGCGATCCCGAACAGTGTTTTGATTCTGTCCGAAAAGATTTCCTGCCAATTAATTAGTGTATGTGTTATATTTCCATAGCATCGCAATACTACGTCATGTTCATTTGAAGTTTGTGTCATGTAATTGCCTTAAGCAGTTTTGTATTGTATAAAAATATATTTTACATTTATACTTGGCATAATCTAAAATGCAAAAATGTTTTTTTTCCAAACGACGAAAAACTTGAGGGATTTTTAACAATGAAAAGTGTGGTTCCGTTTGTGAAAGAGTGAGGGGGGTGTATTTCCCGAGAGGGTGCAATCTGTTGAACGAGAGGGTGTCGGTAGTCGCACGCCGTCGTCGTTTCGCTTCGGACGTCCGTGCGTCACGCGCGTTATATCAAAAACGTACATACTCTATGTACGAAGTACACGCTATTGTAAACGTAACGTTCAGGCATGTGGATTGCGTTCGATGTTTTTTTTCTCTTTTAGTTCCAGATGTTTTGATTGACAATGCAATACGTAGTTGCGATGTATATTTTGGTTTTTTTTTTTAGCTTTTTGGCGAATTACATTTAGTTTTATATGGTTTGAGTAAGCATTTTCAATTATGGTACAATCTAAACCTATCATCTTTCCTCATTTTGATATGTTTGGCAATATTAATGAAAAAAAAAAGATGTGACTTTAAGTTTTCTATAATCTTATTTCTTTTTATTATTAAAATTAATGACGTTTTGTAAAGTTGTTCCCTATTACAAATTAAAAAAAAATGTTCTTGAGCTTCATAACGATTTATGGGTTAAATTTGTAAAAAAATGCAAAGTTAGATAAGCCTCACGCGTTATAATCAAGTTTACATTACGCTGCCTTGAGATACTGGGTGACTTCACGTTATACAGAAATTGGACTAATTTTATATCTGCCTTTTTTCCTCGATGTTTTACAAAAAGACGTTACGCCTGTTTAAGTAACAACTCTATTGTTACGGTAACAGTATAGAAAAAAAGATATGCAATTAGCTATTTGTACAAACGACGCTTCGCTTACACTTAAATCACAATGTTTCTAAATGTTTTTTTTATAAAAGTACCCACATAGGCATATAAAATATTTTTCGCTCGTGCGGTTTTCTCGCTTTCATTCATTAAAATGATTATTCGTTCGTAAGCATTGATGCGCGCTTTGTCTTTTTTTAAGGCATCAGTAATAAGAGAAATGCTTCATGTTAATTGTGACAATGAAGTATTTTAAGCGGAATGTTTGTGCTCTATCCCTAAACGTAGATAGCACAAAGTAAAAAAAAAATGTTACATGAGCGAGAAAAATTGTAGGTATGTAAATGTTTTCCTATATTATTCAAGAATGTTTAAGATTATTTGCAGTTAAGAAGCATAAATATTAATACTGTTTACTGTTAAGTAATATAAATTATGTACACACTGCTTGTCCGCAGTGACAATGCTATATCAAGTTTTTCAAGAACTATCTCGATGGTACACCCGTAATCTTGTGTCAAGATAATTTTAACAAGGCGTTTTATTATCAAAATGTTTTTCAATACACATTGTTTTACGTGCCGTTTTGACATTTATTTGTGCTACCAAGTAGTTTTTTTCAATGTCTTTACTGAAATTAGGTGAGTTTGTTGTACTATGTATTTCGTGGGTTTGAAACATGAGATTTGGACCTCCCGACATTTATGTGTATCCTTACAATCTTGGGGTCAGCTTACCTGTAATCAACAAAAAATTAACATAGCTAGTTATTTTCATTCACGTAGGTAAAAGATATATGTGTCTTTCTTATTACTAATTTGGTACTGTGCCTTGAAGAAGAAAAAATACTGACTCAGTCACCTAGAAAAACTATCAAGGGACACAGAGATAAAAATTACTGTCCCATTAAGAATTCACTCTAAATTAAATTTATTAATTACTCACGTCGACATCTCTAACCAACAGGTACCGTAGTCAATAATCTGATCAGGTCCGTGTCATGAACTCCCGCCCTCCTCGTTTTACTGCGAAAACGGGGAGTTAATGAGCTATTATATTCTTGTCGCGTAAAGCCCTCAGCCCTTATTTGAAAAGATAGTCCTTTTTGAGGTTTTATTTCTGATCATTCTACAGTATTATATGATGTATAATTTTTTTTAAAGTTAGTTATTGAACAGTCTAATACACTAGAAGTGTAGGTAAAGTTTACAATATTTGTTTGCGGCGATTCTCACGTATCCCTACAATTTAATTTCATGTTATAATATTGCTCCGAGCTGTGTTCTTTTTTTAATTATGCTGATAATTATTTATTAAATTAGTACCTATTTTTCGCAACCTACATATTTCATTTGTTACTTTTAGCGTATGACTTGACATAGGGAATGTGTTAGTGCAGTGTTTCATAAACATATCAAGGTTGTGTAATGTTTAGTATCGTTGGTGTTAGTTAGTGTGAGTGTAGCGTGTTATGTGAGTACGATGCCGGGGTGCTGGCACCTGCCGGAGCACGTGACGCGTTGGTGGCTGCTCGACGTCTGCAGCCAGCGGCTATTCGGCGAAGATGCTGCTGATTCACAGATACCCCAGCGTATGTTCACTATAGTCTGTACTATGGCTCTGTGGTCATTTATGGTAGTGTAGACACTACGTTAGTAAAGGGAGGTAAACTGATGGCAGAAGACATGTCAGCAATAAGTTTCAATCTTATATTACTTTAAATAATGCTTGCTTAATTGATGAACTTCGATATACGACAAAACTGAATACGCTTTTCCGTGTTGAAATCGTTCAATGGAAATTTCTAGACCAATATTGACCTACTTTAGATGAATATCATTTGCTATTTGTCTAGTAAATATGTACAATATAGTATCTAAAGAAAGTAAAATGACGAAGACTTTTTTGTTATCCTACCCCAAGCCAAAGCGTCATTGTTCCAATGCGGATGCAATTCATTCGTCCGCGTTATTTGCGCGAACGGAGTCGTTTCGAAGAGATCTCTCAGTTGTTCCTTTTTATGAATAGATTTTAATCCTATGTTTTAAGTAAATATTAATAACATACATAAGAAAAAAATATCCTCATTTATTTGCCCATTTCAATAGTGCTGGAAAAGGAAATCGTTGAAATTTTATACAACTAAATTAACTTCTTTTCTTACTATGATTGTTCTGTCTGTAGCTACTTATTACGGTTTAAATATATTTTAAAACTTAATTAACCATCTTTAAATTACATTAAGTTGCAATGCATTAAATAGATACCGATAGAATAAAAAGTGTAATAATATTAATGTATTGCTTCTACGTGTACAGTCAGTAGATAGTTAGTGTCCTAACTCTTGCAACTTGCAACTTGGGACTGTGACCGCCATCTCTGACATCTCCGTTTCAAAACTTTATAACGTACCAGTTACACGGAGATATTTATCTTAACAACAACTACATTCAGTTCTGCAGTTGTTCAAAGTGTTATTTGGGTTGATGTGACAAATGTTAAAAGTTGTAGAGAAGTTTCTTTAAATGGGTGTACTCTTTGGCTGTACCTAGTAACACAACTACAATATTTCATCCGTCAATTTTAACTATTTACAGAAAAGGAAGTGTAATGGATAGACAACTGTTGCTTTCAACATCAGCATGTAAAACTATGTATCTTACTAATATATCATGTTTCAAGGAAATCTCGTACTCTATCAGCGTTATTGTTATATGCATCGATTAATCCTAATTCGTGTACCGATCGCTGTATATATGCAGATGTATTCAAACGAGATAGTAATTTACACGATCCAGAACTTTATGCAAATAAGTTGAACGTAAAGCAGCGATCAATGTTGAGCAAGTTGGCCACCGACGTTGAGGTAATCCTTCGGATTTGGCTCCTAAACCGTTTGTGCAGTGAGCTAAGTCGCCAATCTACATATATGACGCTACGTAATACTACCAATTTGTAGGTGTGTAGGCTACGGGACATGTTATATTAGTCTTGACCTATTATAATCAATAATGGAGTTCGAGATTACGAATACCTTGACAGACCAAAGATAGAGCGATAGAAAGGCAGTACGACACCTCAGTGACGTCAAGAATCACGAAGATGATGGAGTAAGTTGCAGGAATGAAGAGCGGGTGTGTCTTTGTTAGTTCTATATGATATGTTATCTCCTGTGCTTGTAACTTGTGTACAAATCTCAAGAGGGCCATGTATAATAATTGACTTGTTAATGCAAAATGCACAAAGAATGTTTCTATCTGCGTCTGTTATCTGATATCGTTGAAATTGTATCGAAATTTAAATTTTTTATCCTTATTACCCAAATACCAATATTAAGGAGGCTAAGGTCAATTTATGACGCAGACAATTTTTAACGAATTCCACAAATTGTTTTTTCATCATTTATTACGAAAGAAATACATTAGGCAAGTGGAAGCAATACATTCGCTGACTAGTTTGTAATTCGGTGTTTACTATATTTATTAGACTTCTAACTAAAAAAAAAAACATATATTTAGATATATGTTTTTTTTTAAATTTTTTATCTACAGTCTATCATTTTAAAATTTCACTAGCGCACGCTCACCGCATTGAAAACTCGATTTGCACGCGGCGCGAGTGACACGCTTTACTAACTTCATTAATTTAGAACACGCCTCAACTAGAAGATGGTTAGCCAGAGTTTTTAATTAGGACGCAATTTTTGTTGTGGCCCGTAATCAAATTAGTGCAAAGAGCGCATTGTGTTCTGACGCCATTCAGGTCTTTTGCCAGTAGAGAAAAGTTCGTTTGGCTGTAGAATTATGAAGTGTAAAATGATTTTTTATTCTGTGATCTCATATAAATATCTGTGAGAACATAATATCACAAGCTTTAAACATTTTTCTAAACACAAGAATTTAATACTTTGATATTGTTTCGGGAACAATATGAAATGTGTCTGGGGTTTTTTACAAAGAAATTTGCTAGACACTTTCTTTATATAGAGCAAAAAAATTAGAAAGTTCCGTAGCTTTCCAAACCCAATGGTAGCTTTAGAATTTTGTGCAATACTCTCGTATACTTTGTTTTTGCATATTTGATCTAGATTTAATTTTCAACATAGAAAGTGAAATTATATTATAAAAGGTATTGCACTTACATTTGCGGTCAAGGGCTACATTTCATATTCAGCCTCAGACCTTAAGTGAAAGGAATTAAATGCTCTGTAGTCACAAAAATAGGCCATTTTTATATTTCAAAATTCTAATAATTTAATGCAAGGATTCAAAGTTCTTATTTTGATATATGCTATAACAAGGTACAAGATGCATTTATTAGAACATACCTACGTTTATAAGCAATATCTACACATTTAATATTTTTCAATATTGTTCCAGTGAATAAGGGGATATAAAGTTTTATAACTTTTACGTCCAGATGTTGTTTTCTTAACGATTACCTAACTGAAGTATTGCAAAGTTCAAATCTACCTCCACGTTGTTTTTACTTCTAATAAATCCCAATTTAATGTTAGCATTTTACGTTAACAATGAAAACATTTTAACTGTGAAATTCGTCGGAAATAAATGTAAAAATGAGGAATATTGTTTTTCTTTGTATTCGACTTGATGGATTTAACTTACAAAATATAGCTAAGCTTCAAAACATATTGATTTTCTTTTGTTTTTCGATTTATACATATTCTCTTCTTCTTAAAAAAAATGATCGAATCTGTTGATCTGATCTGAAAGATCATAATTCGACTAAAGAATTAGTTATTATCTAGTACGTCTCTCTGATTAGTAGTAGAGGTTGAAGCTTTTAACGTTAATTAATAAAGCTTTTTTGTTGTACATTTTATGGATAATCAACTCATCTCCCAATCTGTGACCTTTATCGGATATCGATATTGTGAATCGCCGCTGGTATTTTTACAAGCTTTTAAATTCATGATTTCGAATAATCGGCTTTCATCGTGGTTTAATTAATTTGAAAGCTCGGCCTAGATTGTGTTATGGGCCAATAACTTTGTAAAATATTCGTATAACTGTTTATACTAATTAATATAATGTAAATCAATGAAACGTATAAAAAAAGCATTTGTGCATTTTTTACACCCTATTTCCATGAAAGTTGTATGACCGTCTTTATCTTCTATTTCTAAGTTGAAATTTGTGTTTATAATTTTTGAGAAAAACTTGTCAAAAGGTTTGATTGCTTGTTTCAGATCAGATTTAAAATATAATCACCGATAAATAGTTGTATTATCTAAGCTTATTTTATTGATTATCCCTATAAACAAAGCTAAAATCATATTTGAAAATAAAATTCTGCATGAACAGAAGCGGGTGGCGCTGCAGCGGGGGCAACGACGCCGAGCGGGCCGGGGCGGGTGGCGCGGGCGCGGGCGTTAGAGCTAGCACAGCAGCTAGCTTCCTCACTGCAGCACGCCATACCACCGCCCCCCAGACCCGACTTCACAACCGCAAGCGCGATACTACGTTGGCTGCAACAGAACAACAACTCAGTAGCATTGGTGAGTGAGATTACAAACTTTATTTAAAAATGTTATATCTAATGCAGATGTTAACAAACTTCAGGGTACAACGATTTTTTCTTGAAGGTTAGACTGTGATTGGAAACAAAACAACGAAACAAATGGGAAACCTAATTACGAAACTCTTGGATGGCCTGATTTGTGTGTTCTTAGAAAGTTAATTTATTTTCCCTCGTAAAACTTATAAATTAGCTTACCGTACTTACGCAATTACTAAGAGGATGAAAAATAGAAATGGTTACTGAAGTATTTATCTATTTTATATTGTTTTTGCTATAGTCTTCATATTCTTCTGTATTATAAAATGCGAAAGCGTTTCTGACATGCCGTCACAATGGATCCTGCATTTAATATTTCACGGCGCTATCAAAGAACCTTCTGAGCGTTATTGAGATGACTTGCATCCATAAAAGCATTCGCTTCGAAACTTGATTGCATTTTTACAATTTCCGTTGGATAACTGAGATTCTTTAAATTTTTAAAAGTAAAATGCCGTTAATAATTGATTGGAATGGTTCGTCTTTGTGACTTTGGGAGTAGCAATTATATTTCTTTGAGCTTCTTAATTACGTTTCTTTTATTTAAAAACTAGGATTTAAAAATTACATAGAAAAACATATGAGGAGAACGTATGTTAGCCTAATGCTTAGAGCAAACAAGAAGACGACTACTTGTTTAGTATCGTACTCTGCAAAACACTTCCAGAGTTCTAAAGGAACAGTGTACGTATATTATGTTTTCATGACCAAAGAAATTAAAAGCTGCAATAGATCGATCATATACGGATAAAACTCATCTTACTAATGCAATAGTTTGATATAGGACAAGAATTTATTTTAAGTAATAAAAAAAGCATTACTTCGTACATTTGTAAATATTTTTAAAGTCTCACCGGTGCACATGGAAGCAACTAATTGCAGCACTCCGCAGCCTTTGCCCGCCGATGTGCACTCACCCACAAATTACTCTTTACCGTCGCTCGAACTGCTCGCTGATCACACGAGTACCGGTAACTAACGACCTACTCTCAGCTAATACAGGAAAGAAACATAAGGCTATGATTTTTTTAATCTCTGTATTTATGGCTGACATATAGCTGGGTACTAACTGTTTAGTTAAAACAGTGAGTATGTAGGCAACAATATAATTGACATTTGAACTGTACAGATAAGTCTGACAGTCAGTTATTTAGAGTTCAACTTTCGGTATTTGAACATTATTTTTATTAAATGTTAGCGATGTCAATTTCGAGTTAATATCCAGGTAACGAATATGTTTATGAACTTTCATAACTATCAATTTTAACGGTTTTTTTATTAATTGGTTTATTGAAAATTTTATAATGTGTCATGTTAAAACGCCGTTAGGTAACACGGAACTATCTAGAATTAATCGTAACAAAAACTTTCATTTTACTTTAGAATACAGTGTTTCCTTTCGAATATGATAAAAAAACAGAGACATTCAATAATAAGAACAAAGATAGATAGACATAATCGCACATTTAAGGGATTATGGTTGTTTTAATAGATTAAATTTCGTATTTTAGACCTTTGAATATAAGCTAGACGAAAGCATTCAACTAAATTACTAAATAAATAGAGCAACTATAAATGCTAAAAATATTTCGGGCTCCATAGATTTGTTTCCCGCATACCATCTCTGTGAAGACCAGGCACTAACCTGAATAACTTCACAAGGCTCACAAAATAGGTCATTGCAGTGTTATTTTAAACAAGTAATAAAATTATGTTAATACCATATGAAAATGAGTATATTGGAATGCCTCGAACAAGTAAGAGCGGGAAAAACTAATTAATAATAACCAATGGATCATTATTTTTATCTTAACTCGAATCGTGTTCGTAATATTGCAACATACCGTGTGAATTTTATTTTGTACTTGTTGATGAATTCAGGCATTTTTGTTTGGATTTAATATTTTTAAAGAACAAAAGCTGAAGGGTTTTTTAAATTAATTTCTAGAGAGCTTACATCATTCCAGCTGACTTCCGTGGCCGCTGTATAATTGCGAAAGAGCTTTGTTTTTGTTTTATCCTGCCTCATTAAAATAGTTTTCTTTTTTAAAAGTGGGTGTTGTGGGAATTTTAAAAACCATGATTTTTGAAATTTAAAACGAATATCAGAACTTCGGATATTTTTTATAAAAATAAATTTATTACAGTATATTAGATAACGTGCATATTTTTGTACCTTTCAAACTTTAAGCGCCTGTCTAAATTTTTTAGCAGGAATTGAATCGGTCAAGTTAACGGCATCGTAATATACTATAGGTAAAATAGAATTAGAAACTTGAAAGAGAATATTGCAATGGCAGGAAGAATATCGTTCATATTCATGGAGGAGGCATTATCACACAGTGACGTCATCATCAAGTACCTTCTGAATAAAAAGGCTTCGTCAGGTGTTTTTCGAGGACTTACTTCCGTGTTGAGAACAACTTATATGTGAAGAGATTTCCTCCACAGACGCTGTACCTAAAAGTATATAACAGTGAATATCTACATAAACGTGCTCATACTTCAATAAACTAAGATCTGGCTTCTAGATATTTCATAACGTTTTTTTTAACAACTTCTTAGAATTCTGTTGATTTAGGCTAAGGAGTAGAATATTTGCTTCTGGGAATGTATTGTATCTTTTTTTGTCAGCTGTCAAGTTGGTAACATTGAACTTCCTTCGGAAATATGAAAGTTAAATGGATGTCGTCAAAATTTTGGCAAGGCAACGTGTTGATCGAAACACTTCCGTTGTCAGACAGCGATGTGCGTTATCGTTTGAATGCTGTCAAAAGTGCCCAAGTTGTTCACATAAGAGTGTTTAATTAGAAAGAAAATGTTTCAGAACTAAGGTTATTTTAGCTATGTAAATGTAATTAATATAACACTATGTAAATGTAATTAAAAGTAACTGTAATTCTGACTGTCGGATACCCAGCGTTTGTAGATCGGTACTTAAGGAGTTTGGAAATTGTATTGAAAAATCTATTTCTAGCCTCTGGGTGTCGGGAAAATTTACCAATTTACATTGGCCATACAATACAGATACTAGATAACATTTTATTTATTTGAAGTTCACGTGTTAATGTTTGGATAAATAATTGAATCCGGTACACCCGAAATGGAATTGGTCGAAAATGTTCAATTATAGGAATCGCGACCGACAATGCTCAAAGCCGCACAAACGGGTAAACTTTAATTATATTTTGGGATTGCCTGAATTGTGAGGTCTCCAGGGTTATATTACCCAATGTTTATAATAAGAATGATTATAAATGAATTGTCAAAACATATTTTACCTGACTATTAAGAGGGCAAAGGGTTTTTGTCTATGTATGTGAGTTTTTATGTACATATGTCAATTCCACTGTGACTTAGGTGTGATTGATTCGTATTTTATGAATTCGATATTTCGAAATAGATACCTACATTTTCCAATGTTGCAAGAAGTTCTCATCGTATGCACGTTGAAATATTCCTCGTTTCTCAGATATTTTTAATATGCCTAACGCTCGGAGATTGTGCATTGTTCTGCTGTATTTCTATCGCATAATAATTTCTTTCATGGAATTTCCCGCATTGCTCAGATGCCAAAACGATAAGGATAAAAAATGTATTCTAAGATCTTATATTGACTAAATGGGTCATGCATATTGTAACGCTAAGGATTTTATTAACTGACTTTACTAATGTCTTGTAAACTCCTTATAGATTACCGTTAATGATTTAGTGTTGTCTTTTATTCGTCTTGTACTGATTGCAAGGGGTAGATGGGAAATAATGGAATAGCTAACATGTGTTGGCAATGGTCCATTAAACGCGAAGAGCGTGAAAGTGGGATTCGTTTCCGGTTTCCGGTGTGACCGTCACTTGTTACCTGTTATGAATATACGTGACATTTTGTCACGTTGTACTCGTATTATAATAATATAACTTACTAAACGATATGGAATATTGTTGAGGTAAAAGTGAAAAACATTTTGGTTCTTTAGTAAAATATGCAATATTAATATCTACAATAGGCTGTTCCTGATAAAAAATGTTATATATGAATGGCCTATATTTCACTTAATAAATTCACAACTTAAATTATTTTTCCAACAGTAAATTCAACAAGTGTACTAAGTCGTTTTGAAATAATGCGTATGCTCGTTACATTGAGTGGGGTACCTGGTGACACGCATGCTATGAAAGGGCTGTTTACTGACCGAGGATGTACGCGCCTCAATGGAAACCTACGCTCCACTTCGCATGTGTACCCGCACGCCCGCAGCCTTGCGGGGTAACTAACCTCACTCTGAATGCTTATATCCACATCTCAGTATACCATAATGTACGGCATGATATACTCACGGAGTCAGCCATATTATATTGTAGACTTTCGTCTCTGCATTTTGGTCTTTGTTGCATTTCCTTAGCAATACAATAATGCTGCCTTTTCGAGGCATACAGAAGTTTCTTATACATTAAGTAGCATAACATTTTTGATATAACTTGTGATAAGTAAGTTACTTTGGATTCTGTCAAATTAAGTTTGTTAAAAAGCGTACAGTTCTAAATTTAGGGATTAATTTATTCCTTCACTTTTTCTTAAAGTTATAGAGTAATAAATCGCTTTCTACAATAATGTAAAGTTTAAAGTTTTGCGTAAAAAATAAACAAATGATCTACTAAAGAATACTCTAATCTATCGTGGTGTAGATAGGTGATAGCTTCGTAGTTAGTTTGCTGACGTCGGGCATTTCTGAAAGGACGTCCTTTGCAGGCACTTATGCATTCATTGGCTGTCGCTTTACGTTCACCCCTCCTTTCCCTGTCCAGGTAGGGAAGTAATTGATGATGAATAAGCATTTGTAGTGAAATTTTGGCAGTAAAGGAAAGGTAGAGAGACAGCCTAAGCTTAGTCACAACGGTTTTTAAGTTTAGTTTAATAGAGCGGTGTATTTTAATAGAGCTGCA